GTTGTAATGAGCTATAATTTAAATATTCGGGTGGACCATTCTGTCTAGAAAACATGTATTTTGGTAAAGTTTGTTTGTTCACATTTATTTAACAAACAGTCATATAGGGCTTACCGTGTCGGGCATTATTCTAAACATTTTATATATATTAACTAATTTAATTCTCATAAAAATCCTATGACGATACTCTTATTTCTCCATTTTACAGATGGAGACACTGAGGCTTAGAGAGGTTAAATGACTTGTCCAAGGGCACACAGCGAGTAAGTGGCAAAGCTGAGATTTGAACACCGGCAGTGTGGCTCCAAAGTCTGTGTATGTAGAGTTATATTGTATATCGTACTTAAAAAAAAAAAATCTATTTAAAGGAAATCTCTTGTTAGATCCTTTGATAACATGCATCATCTCTTCTTCCTCACCCACCCAGTGATGCCTCTGGATTTGTATATCAGAATTTCCAAGTTCCTAGTTTGTTAATCATGTCATTGTGATGCTTTCTAACCATTATGAAATCATAACACTTTATAAGTGTTACATGAAGGGGAGAACCTTTTATAACCCTTTTCTGAGAACAGTTCTGAAAATCCACTGTCTCAGGGTAAACCCAGCTGGGCGAAGTGATGTAAAGTAGAGAGGAAAAGTGTTCCGAGCTCTGCTGTAAAAGGTGAGCGGCGTGAGTGAGCCTGATGCTGTCTCAGTGCACTGGGAGAGTGGAGGGTCTCTACCGGCAGGCTGAGGGCACCACATCCTCCCTGGGGCCTGACTCTAGGGGGGACCACTGGCCCAGGACCCTGACTTCTGCTGACTGGAAAACCAAAACCAAACCAGTTGCCCTCGACTCCGACTCATGGTGACCCCATGTGTGCAGGGTAGAACTGCTCCATTGGGTTTTCAAGGCTGTGACCTTCCAGAAGCAGGTTGCCCAGCCTTTCTTCCAAGGCGCCTCTGGGTGGGTTCGAACCGTCAACCTTTTGGTTAGTAGTGGAGTGCTTCACTGGCCCCAGATATTATACCTCAGCCTGCCCCATGTACTGTCAACCTCCTCCCAGGCTGATGAGCAGGGGGAGAAGGTTTCAGGGAATCTCGAGAACCTTCCTATTGTTATTGATTAACCAGGAGCAGAACCCAGAGTCAAGCAGGGAGAGGGGGCAGGCAGGAGTATGGGGGTGGGGAGGGCTCAGGTCAGTCCCACCCCCACCCCACTGCACTTTTCAGGATCATCATTACCTACAGAGTCTCGAGGGGAATAGAGAACAAAGGATGTTTTAAATGTGTGCAGTTGAGAAGGGCCCCAACCATCAGCCCAAACCTGGGGAGAGGGGGGCTGGGGAGGGAGGAGAAGGGCAGGAATCAAAAACTCACGCTTTTGAGTCCAGATTTCTGGAATCTCAGCCAGCTCTGTCACTAACTGCCTGCATGATCTTTGGCAAACCACTTCTTCTCTTGAGGCCTCAGTTTCCTTATCTGTAAGATAAAGGAGAAGAAGCACAAGTCCACCGATGTCCCTTTTGCATCCAGAACAATCTCATGTATGTATGTATTTATTCTGTCTGGTCTCCAGTAGGCCTCAGTCTCTGACAAGCCTTAAGAAGCCTAGTCTCTTCTGGTCAAATGTGAGAGAGAACTTGCTTGTTGGGAATGGGTCTGACGAAGGCCAGGGGCCCCCCACTTCTGCTTACAGAGGGGGAGGGCGACTGCAGGAATGTGAACTGGGAGTGGGGAGGGGGTGAGATAAGGAACTCAGGGAGTTCTGTTTGTCCAGCCCATCCCCGGGCCTGCTGTGATGGGGTGGACTGACGTCCTGCAGTATCCTTGGTCTTAAGCCCGCAGAACCCTCCCTCAGTGAGGAGCCAGACTTCACTCTAGACCTGCCAGGTACCTGCTCGTGTCGAACAAGTCACCCCTCCTCTTGAACCTCAGTGTACTCATCTGTGAAGTGGGGACAATACCTCCGAGCTAGCCCTGAGGGTTAAGAAGTTCACAGCAGATAAGTATCTGGTGGAGAGAGGTGTGGGCTCAGGTGCTGAAGTCCTTGCTGCTCCTCCCGCAGCATCACAGCAGCCGATCTGAAATCACCAGCCCTGTCTGTCTGGTTCTCCTTTCTGTTTTCTGGTGGTCACGTATCCCATCCCCACTCGGCTCTAGCCTCCCCTGCGCTCCCACAGGCCTGAGTCTTCTCCCCTCTTCCTGGGAATGAGACGGTAGGCAGGAGGAGCTGGTGGTCCCAAGGGTGCGGGCATCAGGAATGAGGTGTGGGTGGGGGTAGATGGGGTTGAATGGTACGGGTATGTTTTCTTCTCTTGCTTATCAGCGTTTTTCATAACAGCCTGGAATGTTGGTGCAAGGATTCTGAACCTCCACTTAGCGTTTAGGCCTGGCTTCACAGAGGTCAGAAAGCTTGCTCAGAGAGCACGTCCCAGGAGGTCAGACCGGCAGGAAGAAGCAGTGGGGATACAGAGCGGAGCTTTACTGGGTGGCAGGGAGAAGTCAGTGTGGGGCTTCCAGGAAGCACAGAGGTGGGCATCTAACACGACCTGGTGGATGATGGGATTTCAGGAAACGCGGAAGAGGCCAGAAAGCCTTCCTGGAGAAGACATCTGAGCCAAATCTTAAGGGTGAGGAGTAGGGTGTAGGACAAGGAAGGGAATTCCTGGCAGAGGGAATAACTTGACCAAACACAATAATATTCAAGGCATGTTGTTATTGGTTGCCATTGGGTTGATTTGGACTCGTGGCGACTCCATGTATGCAGGGTAGAATTGTTCCATAGGGTTTTCAAGGCTGTGACCTTTTGAAAGAAGACTGCCAGGCCTGACTTCCAAGGCGCCTCTGGATGAGTTCGAACCACCAACCTTTTGGCTACTAGTCGAGTGCTTAACCAGTTGCACTGCCTAGGGATGCAGAAAACGACGCAGAGAAAGTCAAGGTTAGAGCCGGATCTTAGAGTTTGAAGCACAACACCGAAAATTTGTACAGTAAAACCTGCGAAAGCCGGAGCCTGTGTAAGGGGGATATCTGTCAGAGAAGGAAAACCCAGATATTTTCCACTGAAGCGAGCAATAGAAAAGTGGTCAGACTGCACCCCGTCAAAGGTGGAAAACTTGCGAGACCCAGAAAAACAAGGCAGTCCCACTGAGTTCCGGCTCACACAGGTTTCACTGCATATTGTTGCTCCTGTCTTACACACTAGGAAACAGAAGCTCAGAGACGGTAAGTAACTGTCTCAAGTCACACAGCCAGCAAGCAGAAGAGCACAGGCCCCCCCCACCAGTGCATTAGGGAGGGGGAGGCCCACTTGGGTGCAGAAGGTAGTGGGGGGAGGCTTGCCCTGAGGCCTCTACGTCCCTCTTTTCTGTTCCCCTGCCTGAGCTGAGGGCTCTCTGCAGCCTTCCAGTTTCAGGCTGGCAGCTGGTATCCCCCTGACTATTTTCAGGTCAGCGTCTGCCACAAATGGGGGGAGAGAGGGCAACCACAGCGGGCACTACCCTCGACCCTGCTGCGATCCCATTTTAAACAGCAGGAAAGAGGCCTAGTGGGCAAAATGCCACCCTCTCACAAGACTTTCTTTCTCTACCCGTGGGCATGGCTTGGAGAAGGCCCACCCAAACCAGTCCCCACCAGGGGGTGGGCCCAGGCTGTGCCTAGTTTTACCTGGCACTGATGACAGGCGTTTCCCCCAGAGACCCCGGTGCACACAGGTGGAGTGCTGCGTTTCAGAAGCTCTGTCCCATCATGCCTGGACCCATTCACTCGGGGGGCTCACGCCAGGCTGCGTCCATTCCGGCTGCCCGAGGAATCCTGACCTGGGTTAGGATCCGTCTGAAGCCCAAAGTGGAAAAGCATATTCTAATTAGCAGTTGCTTTCCCTCCAAACTCAGCTCTGAGGCCACCCTAGCAGCTTTAGGCTCTGGTAGGGGACCTTAGCGGGTCCCTTTAAGAGGTCCTTGTGGTTGCTCCTAACGACCAAGAGCCAATGTCTCTCTGTCAAGTCCGCAGGGCAGACATGCAGCTTCCGCCATTTTTTGAGCCAGATCGCGTGTTGGGTGCTTAGATGCCATGTCCGGGAGTCTTCAAGACAACCTTGTCCAGTCCAGGCTTTCTTATCGCTATCTGACAAACGGGGACACTGAAGCTCAGAGATTGTGAGCAGCAGTCACAGACACCGTAGTGGGCAGGTGTGGATGGGAACCCAAGTCCACCTGCCTGACGCCAAAGCCCAAACCATTTCCTTGACTCTGCTGCAGTCTGCGGGCAACAGATGGGCACAGGGAGAGAAGGTATCTTTAAGGTAGTGTTTTCCGATGGCCCGGTCTCACCCCAGACCGATTACATCAGAATCTCTGGGGCTGGCACCCTTACACCAGTGGTTTTTAGGGCTCGCCAGGTGATTCCAATGGACAGTCCAGGCTGCCAACCACTGCTTTACCGTAACGACAGTGGCACATCTGCTGGGGTAGGTGGGCGCTCCAGGTGCGCCTTTCGCAGCTGTCATCTTGTTCACGAAACCAAAAATCAAAACCGAGCCCGTGGTGGCGAAGTGCCCCCTACGCCTCAGCGACAGAACTTGGAGGAGGGGCCCTGGCAAGGCTTGTCCCCGCCGGGCACGGGGTCTCCTGCCCTCTGGGTTCAGGTGCGGCGCTAAAACAGGAAGCTGCCTCCCCCGGTCCGCCGGTGCGCGGGGCTCTTGCGCCATCCGCTGGGGCTTTCGTAACCGCACCCAGGGATGGCCGCGAGACACACCAGCGCGAGTTCCTCAAATGTTTTCCTGCGTTGCCAGCACCGTCCGCGGCTCTTAGTCACGTGCAAGTGAGGAGTCTTACTGCCACCGAGTCGGGCCACAGGGAGCCGAGCGCCGCGCGGCGCGGAGCCCGGGGACTCGCTGTGCGTGCGGAGCGCGGGCGCCTGGGGATGCCGGCTGCCCTCCGGGCCTGAGTCCGCCCGCCCACCCGCCGCCCCGCCCCGGCCGCCCGGTCCCGACCCGCCTCTCCCGGGAAGCATGGGGCGTTAGCCGAGGAGGAAGCATGCTGGCTGTCCGCGGCGCGCTGCTGGCCGCCCTGCTGTCCACAGTGGGGCCGGCACTGACCCCGGGGGCCTGCCCCGCGCTGGGTAAGGGCTTCGCGCACACCTGGAGGGCTGCGGCAGCTGGCGGGTGGGGGAAACCGCCGCGACCGCCGCCGACGGGGGGCAGCTGGAGGGAGGAAAGAGGGGGAACGGCTCCCCTTTCCGCGGCTAGCTTGGGTCACCGCGGACCCAAGACCCGGGATCGGGGCTGACCCAGCTGCTGCGTCGCTGGCGGTTGCTCGTGCGCCCCCTGCCGCGTCCTGCCCCTTTAGCCCGGCGCCTTCTCTCCCGGACTGCCCTGCACCGGGAAGGTTCTCTGAGGTCTGCGTGCAGGACTGGTGAAGTGATCCTGAGTACTCCTGCGTCTCCTTCCCAGTGCGCCTCTCTACCGCGTTAGTCGACGAGGAGATTCCCGGGAGAGCAAGCTCTAGCGGGGTGATGCTCCTGCGCGGGGCGGCCTTTGCCCCAGCGCCTGTCTCGCCCCTCAGCTTTTGAGACCACCCCGCCTGGCCAACCGCCGCCCCCCCGCAGCCTCCTGGGTGTCTGTGTGGATGACAGTGCCCTGATTGCGAAGGGGACTGACATCATGGGCGCTGAGTCACGGGTGGCACAGGGGTTAACCTGCTCGGCTACTAACCGAAAGGTCGGCGGTTTGAACCCACCAGCCGCTCCACGGGAGAAAGATGTGGCAGTCAGCTTTCGTAAAGATTTACAGCCTTGGAAACCCTTTGGGGCAGTTCTTGTCTGTCCTGTTGAGTCGGAACCCACCACACGGCAGTGGGTTAATGGGAGTCGTCGGCCCTCCCGCTGTATGCGCTGGTACTCACGTCAGCAGGCACCAGCTCTGACAAGCCGGGTGCCCCAGCCCTGGGCATTTCATCTGAGTGGGGAGGCTAGCTAGGGCCTGGGTGGGACCTCTTGGGGCTGGCAGGCGCTGGAATCTCCTTCCAGAGAAAGGAAGGAAGGGTGAGGGAGAGGCCAGTGGGCACTTGTTGCTGGTGTTAACTGTAATCTGTGCCTGGCAGCCAGGCTATTCTTCGTACTCTGGCTGCGTGCCCAGCTGCCTGTCTACTCTCTTCTCTAGATGAGCTAGACAACTGCTTCCACCAGCTTTATTTTAGTGGATTTTAGTGAGAAGACAGCGGAAAACCAAGGGGACAGCAGGCAGGCTTCTGGGAACAGATGGCCGGGGTGGCTGTGGGCTCTGGTTTCACTGCCAGACAACACTGTGCTCCTGCCCTCAGCTTGATCTCTTTCCACTGGCAAGCAGCATTCTCGAGCGAGAGGCTGGAGTGCCTGCAGTTCTCTTGGCTTCTGGATGGTTGCGGTCCTTGCGCTCCGAAGAGGAAAGTAAAAGGGTGCCTTGTTCAGCACCCATTGATTACTCTGCCGGCAACAGCCACTGTTGATTGAGGCTTCATGGGCGTTCATTACTCAGGCTTTCTAATCCTCCCCTGAACCAAATACGTTGTTGTCAGGTGCCCTCGAGTCGATTTCGACTCATGGGGACCCCAGGTGTGCAGAGTAGAACTGTTCCATAGGATTGTCACGGCTGTGACCTTTCAGAAGCAGATTGCCCGGCCTTTCTTCCAAGGTGTCTCTGGGTAGGTTTGAACCACCATTCTTTCAGTTAATAGTTGACCACTCAACCATTTGTGCCACCCAGGGACTCTGATCCAAATACAGTTTTGCTCAGAAGAGGAGACTGTGGTTCAGAGAGGTTGGCATGAAGGTTGTCAGGCCCAGGTGGTGGACTGCCCCTCCCAGGGGTCCATGCTCCAGTGTGGTAGATCCCCAAGACTCCTGTATGTAGAACCAGGCCAGCAGGCAGAGCTGGGAGTCCTTGGGGGCAAGCTGTGAGGTACCCCCTGTGGCTGAGCTCTGGGGCAGCAAGGATTTAGGGAGCAGAAGTGGATACACTTGCATACCACACCTGTGGTGACAGAGGATGCAAGGCAAGGTTGAGGCTTCAGTCGGCGGGAGAGAGCAGGACTCCCCTGCCTCGCTCTGTTGCTAATCACACCATACCCCAGGGCCCCTGCCCCTCGGGAGGTTACTGCCGTAGCTGCTGCTTTTGCGGGACGCACGCGGGCAGTCAGTGGCACTCGGTTCTCTGCTTCCCTTGTGCTCAGGAGGGACCCGGCCTGGACAGCCTGTGAAATGCAGAACTGAGAGTTTGGGGAGGAAGTGAAAACCCTCCCAGCTCAGAAGAAAAATGCAGAGAAGTAGAAAATACCCTGTTTCCCTCCCACACCCACACAGACTCAGCCCACAAAGTTTAGAGTAAAAATAAAGAAATTTGTACAGGAAGCATGGAGCAAATGACTGTGAGATGTCTAACTTGGGAGAAGCGCGGGGCCGAGGGGGTAGCCGAGCTGGAGCTGGCTTAGAGGGGAAATCCGTTGGTTCTCTGGGGCTGTTAGCTGGGACGCAGGTTTCCTCGGAATCAGCCCAGCACTTCCCACCCTCCCAGGGTGCCAGGACTCCTGGAGTGCACGGGCCTTCTAGGACTTGCTGGGAAGTTAGGCTTCTTCCAGCTCAGACACTCTAAATGCTGGGCGTGGAGGCGTGGGCATACAGCACTCAAGTTCCCGCCCCCTCTGCTAGGAAGGAAAGCAGAAAAACAAGCATAGACACCTGGACGTCTCTCCCAGTTTCAGCTTCTGAATTTCCCCTTAGGGTAACTTCTTCCTGCCCCCAATGCCTACCTCCAATTCCTAGCCTCACCCTAAATCAGTATTTCCCAAAAGCCTAGTTCTGGGTCTAGTTGCATCAGAATTGGTACGTGAGTTGGGGGTAGGAGAGCTTGATAAAAATCCAATTCTCAGCCCGACTAGGAATAAGTTGGGGTGAGGCCCGGGAAACGTCCCTTTTAGCCAGCGGCGCCTCGTGATTCTTCTGCACGGTGGAGTTTGAGGAGGCCCAGCTGCGCGGTACATTGAGGAATTGAAAGCCCGCCCCTATGGCTCCGGCTGCCAGAAACCTCTCCCTGCCTTTGGCTCCACCGCTTATTTACTCGTTGCAGCAAATATTGGGTCCGTACAAAGCCCTGTGAGGCCTGCGTGGGAACAGCAACCCAGACTGCCCTACGAAGACTAGACTCTGAAAATGGTCCAGTGTAAATTCTCCTGAGAGGGGCTGAGAAAACCGAGTATCTCTGACCTGCCTGGTACTGAGGGAGGACTAATTGTAGGGGGAGCGGGGCAGCGGGGGAGAGAGGGAGCCTCTGATTGAGACAAGATAATGCAGGCTATGAGAGTCTCTGACCCTGAGTATGTTACCTCAGCTCTGACCCTTAGTCTCTCTCCCTGTAACCTGGATAAACAAATAGTCACCTCACAGGCTGTTTGTAAAGGATTACACAAAGCAACAAAGGCCCTCGCTGCAGTAAATATACACTCCTTCCCTCTTTTCCCCCTTCCCACCTAGCCTGCAGGCCACCAGCAAGCAATCTAGAGCATTCTCAGTCATCAGATCTGTGCTTTTCCAGGCTAGTCTTAAAGATCTAGAGCTGCCATGGATAGGAAGACACAGCATTGTAAAAATGTCAGTTCTACCCAAAGCGATCTGCAGATACAATGCAATTCTGAGCCAAATTCCAACAGCATTTTTTAAGGAGATGGAAAAACAACTCGCCAACTTCATATGGAAAGGGGAGAGGCCCCGGATAAGTAAAGCATTACTCAAGAAGAAGAACAAAGTGGGAA